TAAGGAAGTTAGGAAGTCGGTTTTCACATGAAAAGAGAAAAGAGAGAAGGAAGATGCAAAATTAGGGCAAGAGGTGATCAAGAGTTTCTACCATTGTTAGAGAGCTCAAACTTGGAAATTAAAGTAAGGGGGAACGGGTTCATTAAAATGGTGTTTAGAACATGAAAAGGTAGTGAGGGTTCCTTTCCCTCTTAGGGTTTCTGTGTATTTACATGTGCATTCTTTTTCATTTTTGTTTGATTCCATGTCTGTGTAATTGTTGTTGTGAAATCATGGTTTGGGTACTGTTCTGATATGAATTTCGTGTAAATTATGTTGTTGTTGTTGTGTATACCATGAGAGAAGATCGGGAAATTATGGGGTAATGGTTTTCAATTATGAATGATGTGAGGGAAGGGTAGACATAGGGTTTTATAACTATTTGGGTGTTGATAATTCCATGATGATAAACTATTGTATGTGAATCCTTGATGATTTATGTCTATGATGATGAACTGTTACGTCACAATCCTTGATCTTATGAGATGATGAAATCATGTGTTGATGATGATGAATTTGTGTGATGATGATGAGTAATTGATGATATTAGATGAATTGATGTTATTGTAATGCTATGATGTTAACCCATGAGTATACAAGATGATAAGTGATTTTTTGAATGTTAATAAAGCATAAAAATGAGTTTGAAATGATATAACTTCGTAGCATAGGATCTAACATGATAAAATAGTGAAAAAATGCTTTTAAAAAGTGATTTTAGGGCCAATGTAACAGTATGTGTCGGCCTGTATGTTTTATGTGCCGACACATAGCCTTTAGAAATGCGTTTTTTTTGAAAATTTGGTCGTATGCGCCGACCTGAAAATGGTTATGCGCCAACCTGTATGCCAGCACATGGGCAGAAGAAAAACTAGCTTAAATACTGCAGTACGTGCACCGGCACATGCACTCAAATTTTGCCAAAATGTCGATACGATTTCGATCATAACTTTTGAACTGCATATCCAAATGACGAGCTGTTTGAAGTGTTGGAAATCTAATAAGTAGAACTTTAACATGGTATAAATAGGTGAATTGTTATGTGATGTTTGATTGATGCTTGTGATTCTAAGATTGTTCTTATGTGGACAGTCTTGTGCATATGTGGTAATTCCAGGGAGAATTACAGTGAGTATGTGGCTCCCGTGTGTTATGCATTAATGATAATTATATTGCATAATCGTATGTCATGCATTCATGTAGTATCATGTGGAGATGATCCTAGGTGGGAATTCATGATGGGTCCCTAGTCTCGTCTGAACTCCATGTGAGAGTCGAGTTGAGATAAGTTGTAGTTCAGAGGAACTTATACGACTTATCTAGATTTCGAAGGGAATCGGGTTCAAAGAGTGAATTGTATGGATTCTTATGGTACCGCATGCATTGTGTCGTGTCATTTGAGTCACATTGTATATGTTCATGATTGAATGTGGGTTGAGTACGCTGAGTGTTATTGTGGCACTTGTATGTGCGTTATGAATTTTTGATTCGTGTGAATTGTGTGAATACTATTCCTTAGCATGTGATTTTCATCGTAAATTTATTGAATGTAATTATCACCCTTTTTCTGTCGTTGTATCTGTGGTCCTTGGGGAGTACAGAATAATCAGATACCTGAGTAGTGCTTAAAATATGTGTTGCTATTGATCGAGTCTTAGGAGTCGCTCTGATACGCAACACTGGAGGAATTGGGATTTATTTTAATTTTCATTTGTATTGTTTCCATTTTTTATGTATCTTGTTTCTAATTCATGTTGAACCACGAATTTTGTGGGTTTAATGTGTTTGGAGCCTTAGTGTTGTTGAAGTGAACTATCTAAATTTTCCGCTGTTTAATTAACTTATTTTTATGAGGAATAAAAATATGAAGTGAGTTGATACTTCATGAGATTTTATGTGATGTGACATCCTACGTGTGTAACTCTGATTTTTTTGCAAACTATTTTCTTATTTTCATTTATTAATTGAATGGGGAGGGTAGGGTGTTACAGTTGGTATTAGAGCAGGTCGGTCGGTTCGGCCAGGTTGTTTAATTATGTTGTTCCCTAGTATGCGACATGTGTGTGAGAACGTTGTCGATGCTTGTTTTGTTTTCCATTTGCAGGTTGGGTATGAAATAAGTGGGGGAGAAGCTTGTGCTTCTCCAAGATGCTTCAAGTGTGAAGTGATGGCTCAGTGTGTCGTTGGATGCTATTATAGTTTGGTAAAGATGGTTTATACCCCATCATGATTATCGCCTGTCTATTGAAAAATTGAGGAACTGATCACCCGATAGTAGATGAGATCATGTTGGATGGAATACACGTGTCTGACCAACTTAGATGGTGTGTACAGTGAATTGTTTGGAGTTAAGCTAAGTGCTTACAGATTGTTTGTGAAACTTTTAAAATGTGAGTTCTGGATGCATGAAGTGAGTTTTCTGGGACATGTTATTTCTGGTGATGGCATAACAGTTGATCCATCCAAAGTGAGTGTTGTACTTCAGTGGGAACCTCTGAAATCAATGACAGAGATAAGGAGTTTCTTGGGTTTGGCAGGTTATTACCGCATGTATATGGAAGGGTTTTCTAATTTGGCCCTTCCTCTAACTCAGTTGACTAGAAAATGCCAGGCCTTTGTGTAGGATATCTTGTGTGAAGAGAGTTTTTGAGAATTGAAGAAGAGGTTGACTAAAACGCCAGTATTGATTCTACCAAATTCGAATGAACCTTTTGTGGTGTATTATGATGCGTCTAAAATGGGATTAGGTGGGGTATTGATGCAAGATGGTAAGGTTATGACTTATGCCTCACGATAATTGAAGGTACTTGAGAGGAATTATCGTACTCATGATCTTGAGTTAGCTGCAATAATTTTTGTGTTGAAAATATGGAGACATTACTTGTACGAATCAAGGTTTAAAGTTTTCAGTGACCATAAGAGTCTGAAATACTTATTCGACCAGAAAGAATTGAATATGAGATGGAGAAGGTGGTTGGAGTTCTTGAAGGACTATGATTTTAGCTTGAGCTACCATCCAGGTAAAGCTAATGTCGTGGCAGACGTTTTAAGTCGAAAGATGATTCACATGTCAACCTTAATGATTAAGGAGTTGGACTTAATTGAACAATTTAGAGAATTGAGTATGGTGTGTGAACTGACTCCTAAGATTGTGATGTTGGGTATGCTGAAGGTTAATAACGAGTTCCTTAATGAAGTTAGAGAGAGTCACAAATTTAATTTGAAGCTAGTGGATTTGATGACCGTAGGAGGGTCGAATACAGAAGGTGACTTTAAGCTAGATGATTTTGGTGTGTTGAGATTTCGGGGCAGAATTTATGTGCCAGATAATCCTGAGTTAAGAGAAATGATCTTAGAGGAGAGCCACATAAGTAGCCTGAGTATTCATCCAGGAGCTACGAAAATATATCAAGACCTTAAGAAGTTGTTTTTGTGGCCAGGTATGAAGAAAGATGTAGCTCGATTTGTATATGTTTGTTTGACTTGCCAGAAGTCAAAGGTGGAACATCAGAAACCTTCCGGTTTGATGTAGCCAATGGAAATACCATAATGGAAATGGGATAGTATCGCGATGGACTTTGTGACTGGGTTACCAAATTTGGCGAAAAACTTTGATGCTATTTGGGTGACTATGGATAGATTGACAAAATCGACACATTTTATACCAATTAATATCAGTTTTTCATTGTCAAGGTTAGTAGAGATTTATATCAAGATAATGGTGAAGTTGCACATGGTTTCGTCGAGCATAGTTTCTGACAGAGACCCGATAATAGCAATGTTTGTGTGATTTGTTTGACAGTTGTTGAAGATCAAATCTCTAAATGGAGATTTAAATTTGAAATTGAAATATAACAAATCATATATTTTGTTGGATATTTTTATAGAGCAAATCAAATCTAACACATTCAACTATTATTCTAGACAAAATTAAATCAAAAATCCAAAGAAGAAAAGTCCATAATGCATTTCTATTTAAAGAGACTCAAATCTCATGTTTGAGAAGGAGTTTTGTGCGTTAGGATTAAGTTCTTTGTGTTAGAATTTTTGAGTCTTTTGTTACTTGTATTCCACGCTAATGTTATCACTCATATCATAAGAATTAGTGTTGGATTTTGTTTGTGTACACCACACTATTGTTTCAGTAACTTGATATAGTTGTTGGTTTGTCTTAGTTAAGTTATAAATTCAACATTCAATATTGTTGTTGTTGAAGTTGATCACTTGAGATTAATTATTGAGAGAAAATAAGATGATTTCTTATATTTAACGGGAGTCATAAATAAAAACTCATTAGAATTATGAAGAGACATTGAACATCATTGGATTAATGTTCTTATAAGATTAATGGTACTAATTTAAAGTAGGGAAATTCCTTTCTTGAAAAGAGTACTCTCCAAACATAGGTGTTATTTGCACCAAATGACTTATCAATCTCTTGTGTTATTTTATTGCTTTTTGTATTGTATTTTTGTTATTGTTATATTATTATCATACTGGTCTATCCGCCTTTTTAATATATGAAAATAAATATTATTTATTTGTTTAATTTTTATAGTGGATGTTATTAAAAATAAGAGAAGGAAATTATTATAGAGAAATAATAATTGTGGAATTAAAAATAAACCAGCCTTTTACAACCGTCAAAATTGACTATAGAGGTTTAACGATTATATTTTTCAATACCAATCATATGTGTTTTGCGTCAAATAACAATATTTTATTTATTTTTATAGCAACATGCTCTTATGTTTGTCCTACCATACTATACTATTTTATAAATAATAATTTCTTGCAACTTTTGTCCTAACATACATTGACGCAGCCTTCGTTTCAACTTGCAAGTCAATTCAATCTATTGAATTAGCAATACCAATTCTCACAAAAGCAATGAAACAACACCCTTATATTCTTCTACTAATTAATCTGTGATCAAATTCAAAGCCATTCAATTCAGAGCAATGCATCCATTAATAATGTTTGCTGCATTAGCCCTGTTGGTAGAAGCAGTTACATCTGATCATCATCCCCAACAAGCCCTACCAGGCTGCAAATCCACTTGTGGAGACATACAAGTTCCATATCCATTTGGCATAGGAAATTCAACAACACAAGATCACACACCATGTTACATGAACTCCAAATTCATACTCACTTGCAAAAACAACTCCAAATTAATCCGCGGCCAGAATATTCCAGTCCTAGACATAAATCCGCTAGGCCAAATGGTGTTTTCGTTTGCCGTCTCATATTTTTGCGCTAATGGTAGTAGTAAGAGTACTGCAAATTCTCCTTTTCTCAGAGTTCCTTCTTTGACAATTTCAAGCACAGAAAACAAATTCATAACCGTCGGTTGCGACAGTTATGGATATCTCAACAGTAATTTCAAGGGTGCCATTTATTCAACAGGGTGCTTAACAAGATGTTATGATTATGATCCTAAAATGGTAATCGGCAATAACACTGGAAAGTGCACTGGTTTAGGATGTTGCCAAGTGGATATTCCTCCACTTATGAGAAATATCACTATACAATCATCTCAATTCCCAGATTCTACACCATCTCAGAAACATTATTGTAGCTATTCCTTCATTGCAAAACAAGGATCTTATAGTTTTTCTGTAGATCATTTAAATAATCTTCCTAATAAAAGATTTCCCATGGTTGTTAATTGGGCTGTTTCGAGTGAGTCGTGTCAAATAGCCCAAAATACAGTTAACTATGCCTGCAAGGAAAATAGTGAGTGCGTCGATAAGGATTCAGATTATGACGGTTATAGATGCAAGTGTTTGAAAGGTTTTGAAGGAAATCCATACCTTCCTGGAGGCTGCTCAGGTAACAAACAGATCATTATTGTATACTACTGTTTTTTGTTTTTCTAGTTTAATTAACTCATTGATTATGTTTTATTGAACTTTGTTACTCATTTCAAAAAGTGGCAAAATATACAAAGTTGTTGGTTATCCTAAATTTGTATCGATTCATCATAATGAATCAATATTTATCATCCTAAATCAACATTTATCATAGCGTATCAAGATTGAAGATAGGAATACACACTAGAGATTCATATAAATTGAATTCAGTGTCTACATATTTATGAGCCGTACTTAACAAGTAAGATATTGATAACCATGGTTTTACGGTTTTTCAGACATTGACGAATGCGCAACAGAATATCATGGATGCAAAAGTAAAGCAAATTGTAATAACACTTTTGGGAATTACACTTGTTTCTGTCCTGAGGGGCAAACAGGAGATGGAACAGAGGGAGGAGGGTGTCAACTAGTACATAATGAAAATGCAAATAGAATAGTACTACCTACTGTTCTTGGTAAGCAGCAAAACACACCTAATTTTATTTTATCTTCATCTTTTTTCCAAATGTTATGTGTCTTCATTAAGTATATCTATGTATGCTACTGATATTAGTTTGGGTTCAATATATTTTGAATGCAGGAGCAGGAGCAGTAATAATTGTTCTATTTGTGATGATAATTTTCTATTTAATAAACCAAAAAAGGAAACTTACCAAATTGAAAGAGAAATTCTATAAGCAGAATGGAGGCTCTATTTTGGAACAGAAACTTAGTCAAAGACAAGACTCATCATCATCTCAAATAACTCATATTTTCAAAGAAGATGAATTGAGGAAAGCCACAAACAACTTTGATGAGAGCTTAATCATAGGCAGAGGAGGTTATGGTACAGTTTTCAAAGGGGAACTAGAAGATAATAGAATTGTTGCTATAAAAAAGTCCAAAACAATAGATGAAAGCCAAATCGAACAATTCATCAATGAGGTGGATGTTGTTTCTCAAATAAATCACAGAAATGTGGTTAAACTCTTGGGGTGTTGTCTGGAAACAGAAGTTCCTTTGTTGGTTTACGAATTTATTTCCAATGGCACCCTTTCTGATTTTATACATACAGAAATAGGTAAGGTGAATAACGTATCTTGGAAAACTCGTCTTAAGATCGCGGCCGAGGTAGCTGGAGCTTTGTCATATCTACATTCAGCCGCCTCAATACCTATTATTCATAGAGATGTCAAGAGTGATAACATTCTCTTAGATGGAACCAACACTGCCAAAGTATCTGATTTTGGAGCTTCAAGATTGGTTCCACTTGACCAACTAGAAGTAGCCACAATGGTTCAAGGAACTATAGGCTACTTAGACCCGGAGTATATGCAAACAAGTCAATTGACTGAGAAAAGCGATGTATATAGCTTTGGCGTAGTTCTCGTGGAGCTTCTAACAGGGGAGAAGCCTTTTAGCTTTGGTAGGGCAGAAGACAGAAGAAGTCTTGCTATGCATTTTCTGTCTTGCTTGAAAAAGGATAATGTGTTTGAAGTTATTCAAGATGGTATGTTGAACGAGGAAAATGAACGAGAGATCAAGGAGGTAGCTGTTCTTGCGGCGAAGTGTTTGAGACTAAGAGGGGAGGAAAGACCAAGCATGAAGGAAGTAGCTATGGAATTGGAGGGAATGAGGTTAATGGATAAGCACTCTTGGATCAATGAAGATGAAAATATAGAGGAGAGTCGCTACTTGCTTCATGAAACATCTTCTAGCATTTATGAACCCGGTGATAGCTGCAAACCAGGAGATTATGGGTATGACAGCTTGAAAGATCATGTATTGATTGCCTTGGATGATGGAAGATGATTGGGATGTGACAAAATGGACTTTCATTTCATTATTTTCGAATGCATATTTTATTTTTCATAAATAATTTAATTCTTTTCAAAATGTAATCTATGATTTATATATTAAGTAAAAGTAGACATGGAAGTGTTCCATACTTCTGTTTTAAGGAATAGTTATTTTTCAAACATGTCAATTTTAAGAGACTTTCAGGCCAAAATAAATGACAGGTTTTCAAGCAGAACCTTGTTAATCAAGTCATCATAATTGCATGAAGTGATAAATGTTTTTTTAAACTCGGTATCCAGCCCCAGACTAATTCGAGGGAGACCAATCTCACATTCTACTTGTAGGGTCCAATTTAAAACTCGTATGAATTGGTACAACACAGAAATTGTTAGTCCCTAAGAGACTTTAAAAGAGCGTATTCTTAAAACCTAAGTCTTCGTCAAGATATCAACCCCTAAAAGTTTGAAGTGACAATTTTTAAAGCAAAAATAATATCATGGTTTAAATTCTAAGAAAAAGATGCAGCTATACCTAAAAGAAAAGTTTATCAAAATATATGGAAATAATTAAATCATTAAACATAAAAATCAAACATGAAGATTAAGAATTTTCCCTGATACCTCCCAAACTGTCACTGAATCTTGGTTCGCACATTTCTTACCCTGTTGGCTATACACTGATAAAAATAGCTTATACAAAGCTGGCTTATTCATGAGCGCTTAGTTTAATAAGCACTTGTGCTATAAACTGGAAATAAGCTTAAACATTGAATTTGCATGTGTACTCGTCATGGAAATTTGGTTGCACGGTATTTGAATGCATGATCTAAATTGAACGTGAGTTGATTGTTGATGATTTCTTCCTGGAATATGATGAGCAATGTAAAACAGAAAGAATATATAGGCAAACCTAACCTGATTCATTCTATATGAAGTGTTGTTGTACTCGAATTATGCATTTGAGAAACGACGGACGCGACGGAGGAAATGTTGAACTGAAAAGGAAGTTTTTGAAAGATCAAACAAGATGAAAAAAAGAGAAAATGCTGCGAGATGCATAGTTAAGAGATTCTTCATTGGAGCTAAGTGCGTCCCTTTTAAAATTTCGGAGAGGAGTTCGATATTTCCCACTTCTTTCGTACACCATTGTCACAAAGACATTTCTTTTATCCGGGTCATTATTGGACCTTCTGATAACCACACCAAATCCAAGTCTAGATGCCTCCATACGAATCCATTCAAGCATTTTATCACGAGATTCAAACTCTTGTTATCAAATTTGTTGCCAACATCTATCGCCTTCGCAACAACCCATTGAACATTCGGAGAAACAACGTTTAGAGAAAAAAATTGTTTTGAAAAAACATCGGGTGCATCATATTTATTGGAAACAATAAAAACAATAACACAACATTAGTTTAAGTACTACTGCAAAATGGCTGAAAAATGAATAAAAACACTTTTCAAAAATGCATTTCCAAACAAGTTCATACACCTTCCGGAGATACATTTTTGGACACAACATGAGTTTTTTCCAGCTATAATAGATGATTATTGTGAGCAATGCAAAGGTAAAATAAGAATCTTTACCTTAAATTTAATCTTTTTTTGCTCTCTGTGATATGATGAACCAAAAGGATGGAGATTTGAAGTGAAAAAATGGATTTAGAATGAATGATTTTTAGGGTGAGGGTTTAGATGAGAATGAAGTATGGAAACAATGGAGGACGAATCATACAGCTGGAAGATATATCAGATATTTCTGGAGATATATCTCCGGAAATACCTGACATGCAAAGGTGACAAAAAAAATTTAAAATGCCCCCCAAAATTTTAGAGATGTATGACCGGAATATCCACTGAACTTAACAATTAATTTTTTTTTAAAAAATTGTTTCGGAGTTATATCTCTGGAATAAATCTAATCAAATGTATGGGACGCCTTTTAGAATTGCCTTTGTTGAGTGTACAAACGGTACATTCAGAGATATAACTCCAGAACTAGATAACATATTTGAAAATTCACCTGGTGTGCTAGAAGTAGATAGGGTGCAATAAGAAATTCAATGGGTTATTAGGGAGATTTTAACCCACCTTCAGGTATATCTAGCATCTCATATTTAGAGTTGTTTTACCGTTATACTCTACGTTAAATACCAATATTTTTAAAATATGTCGCCTCGTACTGGAAATTTGGAATATTTATCGGCAATTTGCAAAAAATTACATTTTCTATCAAAAAAAGGTAAAAGTACCGACAATTTGGAAATTCAGTATATACATACCAAAACTTGTGAAATTCTGTTAAAGACATGTATTTTCAAAATATGTATGCTCTTATCGATAATTGTAAAATTTTCGATATTTACCGCACAATTCCAGAAATATGAAATTTCCAATATACAGTGAGGTAAATTTTTCATTTTTTTCCTACATTAATTTTTTTTCAAATAACTGACTCGATAAACAAAACTACCCGATAAAATATATACATATAATAAAAAAATGTGCTACATATAAGAATACAAAACAAATTAGGACGACTTCCTAACTTTGTCTTACCAATACCTAATACGTTCTGCATATGTTGATTCCCATGTTTTTACATCTTCAATATAATTCTGTCTCCAACGGCCAGTGACGGGACGCAATGGACAATCAGATTTTAACTTTACTTGAACCCAATGATTGTTGTTGACAAAACAAACATCAATGATTTTATGTCTACTCGCATGCATAGGTGGAGCAAAGGCAAGAAGGAAAATGTGATGTTAAGTTTGTTGGACATTGAGACAAATATGACATTGTATCTACAAGCAATAGGATAAACCATATCAGAAATCATCATCCATTTATCAATACCTTGCAAACTAAAGTGGTATACTCATAACACATTCCTAATTGTAGAGACCATGTCATAGAGCAAATTGAAAAACAATTGACAGTGTTGATGAACTTGAGTATCTAAATGCGTCTGTATCAAAGGTCATGACTTTTCGCCTCATCCAAGTAAAGCTACAATATCCCAAAAACTACAATTTCCATCGTCACCCATATCAACAATGTCATCAATGTATGGATGTAAGGAATTAGAAAATTGCAACAAGTAAACATCTCTAGAAGATGCGGTGGACGGTTGACTTCTAGCCGACATGATTAATGGTTGACTTCCATTTGGTTTTGCGCATGATCCTTTTGTAGTCTTACTTCCCCGTGAGACCTTAACATACTTCCATTATGAAGGATCACGATTCACATCACTCTCTTGACTTTTCTGCTCTTATTAACTCCCCTATTTGGTTTGTACTTCATCAGCAGTGAACACATAGAAGTTGTGGATGGATGTGTTAGTTCCCAGACCTTTTTTTCAACACCATCTGGCCTACAATATCCAAAGTACTGAAATATGTCTTTAACTCTTCACACTCTTCTTCTAAATCCAACTGTGTACCATTTTCTTCATGATTGACCTCATGCTCTTCAATGTGTAATTTCGTCCAAAATACGTGAATTGATTTTAAAGGAACATGATTACCTTGTATTCAGAAACCAACAAGTTTACACGCACGGGGTAACTCGTGTGTTGTTCTAATAAAGCAGCCATGTGCATCTTGGCTTGCACCAACAAATTTTACCATTTCCGATTCCTTTCTAATATGCTGTATATAATGTCTTGAAACAAAACTGTGCATGTTAGCATAAAATAGAGTGTTATACCCAGGACATCTTGATTACATATTTTGATGATCCAATTGTTGCAATCATGAATAATACTTATCCAGAGTTCATCAGTAACTATCAATATTACGACTACCTAAAAAGTCGGACAATCTTAGAATCCACACTACAAATGGTTGATCAAATTAATGATTATGTCATTGCCTTGATGACAAGTATACTAAACTTAATCTATAGGACTTTATATTTCATATTCGTGGTTGTTTCTTTGGATTGTTAACTTCAACCTCTATATATAGGTGACATAAAGGACTATTATAACTCAAATGATGCTGATAGGTCAGAAATTCACGACAAAAACATGCTTGATGTTTTGATTACTGAGTTTCTTAGCTTATTAAAAAATTTTGGGTTGCCTAACCATCACATTCGGTTAAGGGTAGGGACACTCATTATGCTAATGAGAAACATCGATCAATTAGAGGGTTTGTATAATGGAACAAGACTCATTGTAACCAAAATGGCAATACATGTACTTGAAGCTGAAATCATGGGTGGAACAGGACATGGCAAAGTCATTTATATTTCCATAATGGATATGTCCCCTTCTCAATCCCCTTGGCCATTTAAAATGACTCGGCGTCAATTCCTAATTATAGTGTCATATGCCCTGACCATAAACAAATCACAAGGACAATCATTAGATTAGGTGGGACTTTATATACCTAGGGATGTTTTCACTCGTAGACAAATATATGTTGTACTTTTAATGTTGTCTTGCATATCATATCCAATAAAAAATATAACTAATACACTTATTTTTTCGGTACAGAATTTACAGCACTGCATGCAATGAGTTATCTGTAACTTTTGGTTGTCACACCGTTGCATTGTTTTTTATAGATGTTGCATATGTAAATTGCTTTCGACCATGAAAACCATTATATGTGTGTTTGGTTCTTTATTTTGTTCAAACCATTGTGTTCTCTATATTAATATGCAACATACAACTCTGTGTCAATGTAATATTACTAATTGATTTTCAATTTCAGTTATATCATTTAAGATTTTATTATCTTTTTAGTTGGGTCAATGGATCTATGGATTTTAAACGGTGGCTTTAAAATGTTCAAATGGATCTACAAATACAAATAATTCATGAATTCTTTTATAACAATTATATTTTAGTTGGGTCAACTTATCTCATTTAAAGCTCTTTCTCATCTCTTTCTTTTTTATCAGTTTATTCCCTCAATCAAACTTAAATCATAAACTAACTTGTCATGCTCTTAGTGGGTTATTTTAAATGATTATATTTAGAGAAATTTAAATTAC